AAGCGCCGCGTCCTGGGTTTTTGGAGACCGCAGGGGTGGCCGTGGCGAGGGCTGCGGCTCGCCAACAGCAAGCCGGGGAATGGGGACCCTTGGGGCAATTCTTGGACCCGACACCTCTGGGAACCGTGAGGGATCTGGGCCCCCTCTCCTGCGGGGTCTGCGTACGCTCGGAGCTCGGGCTCGCGACCCGGCTCCGAGTTCGAGTACACCGCCCTCCGCTTTTGTGTCGGCGACCCGGGGCGAGTGATCCGGCCTCTGCAAAGAGACAGTGACGCAGGGCGACCTCGGAGGCGCCGGGGGAGGCGTTCGCGTGCAGCAGTGGCGTTGGCAACCGTGGAATAAAGATGCGCCACCGCCGCGTGCCCTTTCCTCCTCTCGCTGCACCTTTCGTGATCCCCGTTAACAGGGGGCTCCGGGGACTCGCGGAGGGAGATGCGTCTGCCCAGGGCCCCCCAGCAGGAGCGAGGGAGAAATCGCTCACGGCTGTTGCGCGAGGGGGACCAACCTCTCGCGCCCTGGCCGCACGGATCGTCGTTCCCCAACTTGGGGGACAACTTGGGTGGAACGCAGTTTTCCTCAGAGCTGCTCGGAAGGAGATGCAGGGGCCTCCGATGCCTGAGACCCCAGCTCTCGTATCCGGCTGTGCAGGGAGGGCGGAAGAGGGCGACAGCGAGACACAGGCAGGGGCGCCCAGACCTGCGGCCTCTTTCCCACCCCTGAGCCGGCTTGCTGACGGGTGCTGCTTTCCTGCCCCTCCATCGGAGCCGAAGGGAGCGCGGGTAGTGGTTTCCGCCCTCAACCGCGGGAAGTTGGGGAAGCGGTTGATCTCTAGTTGACAGACGCTAGTTTTAAAGATCCATTTTACCTTGCACTGACAGTCCCCCCCTTGGTCTGCTTCGGCCCCACCTTGTGGCTGTCCATCTAGCTGGGCGCTTGAGCCGGGAAAAGTACCATTAAAATTGTGGCGCCAAGTGCAGGAATCAGTTCGGGACTGGAACAGCTGCAGCTGTCCTGCTTGCTAGCCTTTGTCACAAGCTAGGTAGTTCTACCCAATTCTGGTGGAGCCCCAGCCCAGGTGGCACTGGCAGCAGGGGAGCTAACAGACTGCTGGTGTCTGCAAATAAAAACAACCTTCTGAGCGAGTGTGGTGGTGCACACCTGTAATCCCAGCACTGGGGAGGCTGAGGCAGGAGGATCGCTGTGAATTCAAGACCAGCCTGGGCTACACAGTGAGTTCCAGGTCAGTCTCAACTACATAGTGAGACTCCGCCTCAAAAAATCAAAAAGCAAAAAAAACCTTCTGAGTCTTTTTTGGCAATAACAGATTTAGAGTGGTTTTTGAGGCCAATTTTCATCCTAGCTCGACTGTAGGTATTAGCACCCTAAAGCATTAGAGCTTTGCCATTTGGTAGTTATGAGGCTTACAAGCAAAAAGTAAAACCAAGCTGAGTGCAGTGGCACACATGCATTATCCCAGCACTCTGGGAGGCTGAGGTAGGAGGAGGACAGTCGGTTCAAGCCCAGCCTGGGCAATTTAGCAAGAGCCTGTTTCAAAGGTGTAGCTCTGTGTGAAGGCCCTGGGTTCCATCCCCAGTACCACCAACTAAAAATAAGCGAAAGAAACAAGCAAAGCAGGTCTAGTCTGTGGAGGAAAACCAATTTGTAAAGCAAGTTTAGTTTTGTTAGGAAGGTGCATTTAAGCATATATAGACCCCCTTTTTCTGCAAATGTGAATTACCATTTGGGGAGAGCACTTCATTTCACTGTGTCAGAGAGCAAAAATTATAGCTAGGTGTGGTGGCGCATGCCTGTAATTCCAGCACTTAGGCTGAGGCAGGAGGATCACTGCAATTTCAAGGCCAGCCAGAACTACATAGATAGACTTTGTCTCAAAAAACAAAAAAAGAAAACCCCAAAAGTTGAAAACAGCAAGAATTATAGTTTGATATTTAGGCTGCATTTGTCTTGGTGGTTTTTTGTTTACAGCGACAGCTTTAGAATTTCTTAGGTACATAGAACTGCAAACGTTGGAATATAGCCTATAAGATGTGTATTTACCAATTAAAGATATGCTTTTAAAAAACATATACCAGGGATCAGACCCAGCTTTGCGCTTACCAGGGAGGCGTGAAAACACATACATCTTTGTAATAAACCACAACTGTCTTTTACTAAGAGAAACAAAGCTCTTAACAGCTAAATGCCTGTAAGCACTACACAAGGTAGTAATTTAGCAGAACAGTTTACTTTTATAGCATATTAAAGCAACGAGTATAATTGCATTAAACCTGGACAATTAGCCTTCTGAAAATAAGGCCTATCATATGTAATAGTTTATTCAGTCAAAACTATAAAACAAATCTTTACTTAAAAAAACACTTTGAACAGATGCGTAAATAAACCCTAATTCTCAAGATTTAATGTTCCTCAACCGTTAAGGCTTAATAAGACAGCAACAGCCTCTCATGGTGGCGCACATCTGTAATCCCAGCACTCGGAGGCAGAGGCAGGAGGATTGCCCTAAGTGCCAGGCCAACCTAGGTTCCATGGTGAGTTCGGGACCAGCCTGAACTACAAAGCGAGACCCTGCCTCAAAACACCAGGAACAAAATAAAAAAGTAAATAAGTAAAAAAATCTAAGATGAACAGTTAGAGTTTGCCTATCATAGACAATACAAGCCTTTTTAGCATTTCTTTCTTTCCTTTTTTTTTGGTACCAGGGATCGAACTCAGGTCCTTGCACTTGCAAGACAGGCAGTGGAACCACTGAGATAAATCCCTAGCCCTAGCATTTCTTAAAACCTTTAGTGTTGGACCATGTAAGTAAACACTGACAGGCCAGATAAAGTTGCAGCTATTAACTCGTGGCAAAACAAAGGCATTTTCCTAAAACCGACTGACTGAAATACTAAACGGGTTGCCCTGAAACAAAGCGTTGCTTTTAGCATCAGCTGGGAACTCTCCAAACGGCCAGCAGATAGGACTGGCTCGCCTGAAAAGCCAGCCTTTAAAGCTCACTCTAGCTGATGGGCCTTCACAGATTGAAGTTGCCCTAGGATACAGCCTTTGTTTTGCCTCATTGTCCCCAGAGTCTCTCACGGGGAGGGAGGCAGATCTCTCCTGCTAGCATGTCTCAGAGTTGGCTCATGGATCATACTTAGTAGACCTGAATGCATCATCTTTTTGAGATTTTAGGAAAGCAAAGACACTGGGATTTGCATTTAGCAAATGTTTTCAGGTCTTTTCGCTTTATTTTGTTTTTTTGAAGACAGGGTCTCACTATGTAGCCCGGGCTTGCTTCCAACTCCTGGGGATCCTCCTGCCTCAGCCTCCAGAATGCTGGGATTACTGGCATGTGCCACAACTCCTATTTCAGTTACAGACACACAGATGTAAGGCCTGGGCCTGGTGCCGGTGCCCTGTCCCTCTGTGCCTCAGCCTCCAGCTGGGCTCGTGTGTTCCCAGCCTCTGCCAAGGGCCTCTGCCTCCTCCTTGGCGGCACTCCACACCGCCTCACCTTCGGCCTGGCGTCGTCCCTGATGCATTGTCCGGGCCTGTCTCCGAGGCCCTTCCTTCCTGTTCCATCAGGCCCTGTGCAGCCCATTTTTAAATTCTTAAAAACCAAGCCTGACTACAGCCATTTCGTAGTTTAGAAGCAGTGCACGGCTTGTGAAACCCCTGCCTGCAACTGGACGGGGAGTTGTCACCATGGGGCAGGAAGCGGCCTGTGAGCGTGCCCCTCCCCCACCCGGCGGCCAAGTCCACTTCCTGTCTCTGAAGCGTTGCGTGCCGAGCAGTCCCCGACGTGGACTGCCTAGGTGCACTCTTGTGTCCTTTCTCCCCCTTTCTTTTCTTTTCTTTCTTTCAAGACAGGTTAGCCTTGAATTTGCCCTGTTCCTCCCGCCTCAGCCTCCTGAGCACCGGGATGACAGGCGAGTGTCACCATATCCTCCTTGCCCTGCTCTCTTCCTCCAGCCATGTTGGGGATGTGGCCAGGTCCCTGTGCGGGGTCACCAGGCATCCTGAGGTGCTGAGCTGCATCCCGGGCCCCTCTGCCTGAGCCAGTCACGCCCTCCTGAGACCTCTGGTGTCTCAGATCTGGAGGGGGCGCCTGTCTGTAACTCCGTCCCACCCACACAGCGGTCACGGGGCCAGGCTGCTGGGAGGCCGCCAACAGGCCCTGGTCTGCTGCCGCCCTGCAGAAGTTCGCTGTCTGTCCAGCCCTGGGGTCTGGGAAGCAGCCGGAGCCCGGCTGTCCCTCCGTCACGCAGGGGATGAGCATGACCTCTGCTCTCTTCCAGGAAGCCCCCGGCAGCTGGGCCCGGGCCCGGCACCCCCGGCAGCTCCAGGGCCAGAGGAAGAAGAGCACAAGGCAAGCACTCAGCACGCTGCACAGAAGCTGTCCTGCCGGGCAGCGCGGTGTGGGCTGGCATCCCTGCACTCTGGGAGGCTGAGGCAGGATGATCACAAGTGGCAGCCCGGCCTGGGCAGCTTAGTAACATAGCAAAACTCTGCCTCAAAATTAGACTGCAAAGACCCTGGGGGATCAGTGCCCAGTACCACCACACACTTCCTTTCCTAAGTGTGTTTTCCTTGTCTGATTCATTGTTTGAGACAGGCGGGCGAGTGGTGGAGTCGCGCTACCTGCAGTACGAGAGGAGAGCGACTAAGAAGGTGAGACGCGCCGGGAGCTTTGGGTCCTGGCCGGGCCTGGAGGCCCTGTGTGGCTGTGGCGCGTGGCGAGCTGCTGTGAGAATGTCCGCCTTACGGCGCGGGGCCGTTCCCCCTTGACTTTCATGTGAGACCAGAGCAGGCGTTGTCTCTGAAGTGCCCTGTGACCGAGGCCGGCCCTGCCCTCTCCCGGCCCGTGATGCCTGCCTGAGCATCCCCGCTGGCAGCACAGGCTCCTCCTGTGTGCAGGTGGTGTTGGCGCCCCGCCTCTGTCCCTGCCATGTAGGAGTAGCGCATAGAAATGGCCAGGCCCTGAAAGGAAGGTCCGTGTCGCATGTCCTGGACAGGCCCTGGGCGCAGTCCCCGTCAGAGCCAGCGGGAAGGTGGCGGATGATACGAGGAGAACCAGCCAGCTGCCCAAGGGTGCAGGTGCGGCGTCCGGGCAGGGCGGTGGGGCCAGGGCGCTGTGCCCAAGCCCCCCCCCCAGGTCCGGGTGACACTGACTCGGCTTCTCGCCCGGACAACAGAGGGCAACCGTGTGGGCAAGGGCGACCTGCAGTCCACCCTGCTGGAGGGGCACGGCACGGCACCGCCTGACCTGGATCTCTCGGCCATCAACGGTGAGCGCCAGGCCTTCTTGGATGCTGGGCTTGGGGCTGTGACCGCGTGCCAGCCAGGGAAGGGAACCCTCAGCCGGGACCGCATGGCGTTGGGCTCGGGTCGGTCCATCTACTCTTATCGCTGGGCAGCAGCAGTGAGGGCAGCTCCCAGGCAGCCCCACGGGCACCGAGGGACAGCTGTGCTCCTGCAGGCTGCCTGGCAGGGTGGACAGAGTGAGCATGTTGTGCTTCTGCAGTTCACAACACAGTGGGCAGTGATCACCAGACTGTGAGTCCGTGACACTCATGCCTCCCGCTTCTTTACCGTAGACAAGAGCATGGTTAGGAAGACACCACAGTTAGATAAGACAGCGTCATGGAAAGCCAAGTCGACCTCCTTCTCGGCCCCTCAGAGAAAGAGCCCGGTAAGCGGGTGGCAGGGAGGCTCTAGCCTGGTCGCTGGAGATTCCGTGTCCCATCCCTGTCCTGTCCACTGGCAGAGACAAAGACACCAGGGGCGCCCAGGAAGGTGGAAGAGCAGCGCCCTCTAGCTGTGCGGGGCTTGGGTGCAGCGTGTCAGGTCGGGATTCTCCCCACCGGGCAGCGTCAGAGCCAGACCGGGTGCCCTCCCTGCCCTCCGGGAGGCTGAGGCAGGAAGGTCAAAAGTTTGAGCCCAGCCCGGCAATAGGTGACTCAGCCAGTTCCTGTCTCAAAATAAGAAGGTTTTTGAAGGGCTGGGGCTGAAGCTCAGCTCAGCAGTCCTGCCTCGGCCTCTCTCTCAGGATCTGGCGGAGGTGGTGGAGATGGTGGCTTCCCAGACGTTACTGCTGACCTTGCTGACGGTGAAGGTAATGCGGCACGGGCCCCAGGCACAGGAGGCAGGGCTCTTCGTCCACAGCCTGAGCCCTGCCTCGCCCTGCAGATGGAGAACGGGCTGGCGCGGCTGGAGGAGCGGGCGGAGCGGAGCCTCCTCCTCGTGTGCCGGGAGCGCGGGCGGCTGCAGCGGGAGGCCCACGAGCGGAGGCGCGAACTGCTGCTGCGGCAGAGACGCCGGGAGCTGGCTGACGTCCTGGACGCCCAGGTCAGTGCGGGGCGGGCGCTCAGAGGGTTCTTCCCGCCCCCGCCCCCAGGCCACTGTGGCTCACTCTTGACTCCTTATTTCGGCCCGACAGCCCGAGACCCCAGCGGGGTGTGTGGTTGAACTCGCACTTGTGTGGGTGCTGGCGGCCTGGGTCTCTGTCCCCACAGGCGCAGGCCAGGGCACTGCTGGCTCCAGGGGACGGGGACAGGCGGGACAGCGCCACACTGCTGAGCCCTCGCTGATCCTCTCCATCCCTCCCTGCAGACCGAGGCGCTGCGCCCCTTCGAGGCGGTGGCTGGGCGCTTCCAGGAGCGGTACAGGACGCTGGCCTCGGCCCTGGGCTCCACCCGGCACGAGCTGCCCCTGCGCGCCGTCCACCTGGAGCACGGCGGCTGGCAGCTCCTCGGTAGGGGCCGCTTGCTGCGGTGTGCACCGGGGCTGGGTGGGCGGGAGGCCTATGGGGAGGCCTGAGCCGGAGCTCCGTCTCCCAGACGCCCTGCAGGCCGAGCTGACGACCACCCACCGCCTGCTGGCCGAGCTGGGCATCGGCGCCGAGGAGGACGGCCCGCTGCTGGCCCTGCTGGCTGAGTTGAGGGAGGCGACCACGCAGAAGGACTGCGAGCTCCGGAGGTGGGCATGGAGCCCCGTGGGGCGGGGTGGCAGAGGGAGGGGTGGCCAGTGGGTGCCACTGTGGAGGAGGAGCACCTGGGGCCCTGAGGACCCACGGGGTCACTGCCTTCTCCCACCTGCCAAGGATGCGTGTGTGTCGTGTGCATGTGTGTACCGATTTGTGGTGCTGGAGATTGGACCCAAGGCCTTCTTGCCGAGTCACTAAGTTTCCCAGGCTGGGCTCAACCTTGTGACCCTCCTGCCTCAGCCTCCCGGGGTGCCGGGGTCACAGGCGTGGGCCCCACCCCGGGCTCAGCTGCAAGGTTTTGCTGGTGGGATGAGCCTTTCCTCTCTGCCTGCCTGGCTGCGGACCCCATCCTTTCTCCCATCTTTGCCATCTCCCTATGTCCCTGTAGGAGCTTCGAGCAGGTGCTGGAGCTGTCCGCCAAGGCCAGCAAGGAGGCGGCCCTGGCCAGCCAGGAGGCCTGGGAGGATGCACAGGGCGCTGAGGCCGCCCACCGCTGGTACTTCAGCCCCAACGGAGGCACCGCAGGGACCCTCGGGGAAACCCAGCTCTCAGCCCCGGCCCGGAGAGGCGCTCCCTGCGCACCACTGGGGAAGGCTGTGCGGTGACTGAGCACTGTACTGCTGCCCAGCGGCGAGGCTGTTCTGTCTCAAGTTTTAAAGAGGAACTCGTGTCATGGCCTTTGTTCTCTGGAGGGACAGACAGCGGGGAGGGTAGGAGTATGGCGCCACCAGGACGGGCTGGGACAGATGCAGAGGGCACACACCTGCCACCCCAGCTCCTCGAGGAGTTGAGATGGGAGCATCACAAGTTCAGGGCCAGCCTGGGCTACTTGGTGAGACTCTGTCTCAAAATACAGGGGAGCTGGGGTGCAGCCCAGTGGGCAGCAAGCTTGGCTGGCTGAGACCCTGGGTCCACGCTTGCGGGGAGTCTGGGCACCAGGAGTGGGTCCAGCTGATTGTCATGGTGCTGGTGGACACTGCCCACGGCACCAGCCTCCCCGATGCCTGAGTGGAGCTCAGGTGGGGACAGCACATCCTTCTCCCTGTCCTCCCGGCAGTGCCGTGTCCCTCCCCCAGGCTGTACCTGTCTTGGCTTCAGGTGACGCCCTGTCCCAGCGGGGCTCATGACCCTGGGCTTTCACTGTAACAAATGCATTTAATCCATGGTCACTAACTGCAAAGCCCAGCTGTGTCCCCAGGCCCATGGATCAGTCCCCTTTGACCCCCCACACCCGTGGGCAAGAGGAGGGGATGTAGGGCTGGTGGGCCCTGGACTCCAAGAGCCCTGCAGGACGTGGGGTCAGCAGAGGAGCGGGGCAGCGGGGCAGTGGGCAGGCAGCTTCCTGGCTGGACTCCAGGGCCCCAGCTTCAGCTCCGGCTGTGACAGTCTGGACCTTGCATTTAGTCCTTCAGATCCCCAGGGCTATGGTGATAGACTGGAGCTCACAGGACAGAGCTCCATTGTCTGCCTGTGCCAGAGGAGGCCAGGTCAAGGCGCAGCAGTGGAGAATCCGTCCCTCACCCATCGCCTGGACCCCGTGGCTCCCACAGTCCTTAGAGAGGGGCTGTAGCCACCTCACTCCTGGTCCCTCCCCACGGCCACAGCCCTGGGCACTGCCCCTTCTCTTCTCGCAGAACCTGATGCAGGGGTCCAGGCCCACCAAACTCCCATGATAGCAGTGCCCCCGATTTCTGCTCGAGGTCTGGGAAGGACATGAGTTTGGGGGAACCTGTCTCCCAGCCCACCCAGCCACCCCAAGAGCTGTCAGGGGAGGGAGGAGGAGCGGGTACCAATGCCTGGGCTGCCCCCTTCCCGGGAGCCCCGGGAGGCAGTGGAGGCCCCGGGCAGCCAGCAGCACAGCTGTGCCCGCACCTTGTCCCTGAACTCAGGGGACGCGTAGTAGTACAGGAAGGGGTCCACACAGCTGTTGAGGGTGCTGACCGCCAGGCTGGGCATATAAAACCCGTACAGGTCTCCCCAGGCGCCCAGGCTCGGGTCTGAGTAGTGCAGCAGCAGCAGCATGTTGCTGGGCATGAAAAAGGCCCCAGCTGAGGCCAGCACCAGGGCCGTGAGCCGCAGTGCATGGCCGTGGCGCCAGCCACCCACTGCCAGGGCGTACAGTGTGGCCCCGTGGCACAGCGCCATGAGCAGCAGCGGCAGGAAGCAGCCGAGCACAGCCAGGCAGATGAACACTGGCCGCCAGTGGGCCGTCTGGGCGGCCAGGGGCAGTGCGTCGTGGCACAGCAGGTGGCTGGAGTCCGCCAGGCGGAAGGTCTGCTGCTGCAGGGCCAGGGGTGCAGCCAGTGCGGTGGCCCCAAGCCAGGCGCTCACACAGAGCCCGGCAGCCAGGCGGCGTCCACGGAGGGTCCGGGCGCGCAGCGGGTGCACCAGGGCCAGGTAGCGGTCCAGGCTGATGGCGGCCAGCAGCAGGGCCGAGGCGTACATGTGGCCATAGAGGGCGGCGGTGGCCACGCGACAGGCCCCCTCCCCAAAAGGCCAGCGCTGGCCACGCAGGTGGTAGGCGAGGCGCGGTGGCAGTGCCAGGCCCACCAGCAGGTCAGCAGCTGCCAGGTTCATGAGCAGCGCGGTAGCTGGCAGCCGTGGGCCTCTCGTGGCCAGCACCCAGAGGGCCAGCGCATTGGCCGGCAGCCCCACGCCCAGCGCTAGTGTGTACAGTGCAGGCACCAGCCTGGTGGGCACCCAGCCTAGCAGCAGTGCCTTCGAGCTGTCCGTGAGCACCAGCGTGTCGCTGTCGTTGGCAGTGGGCTGGCCAGGGAAGCTGCGCGGGCCGGCCTGCCGCGGGGTCCTTGCCGCCTCGGGCCCAACCCAGGGCCCCAGAGTGCCTGCTGTAAGGAGAGGTGGCCAAGGCTCAGGGACAGGACAGCTGTGCTGCGCCACACCCCCACCCTGGGGACCCAGCACTGTGATCGAGATCTGCTGGGTTCAGGACCCCAGGGCGGGTGGGCCAGAGCTGGGCAGAGACACAAGCGGGCGAGGCCAGCACCGGGGGCCTGATGGCTGGGCTCAGGGCTGCTCACCACACTCCCAGCCCCCTGGGCAGGTTCCCAGCTGGCCTGATGACCCCCACCCTCGGTAGGACCAGGTCACTCACCGTCACCCTCATCATAGACGCTGGGGGTCGGGGTGCTGCCCGCCAGGCCCAACGCCAGCAGCCACAGCAGCAGTCCCTGCATGCTGTCCTCCCAACTCCAGCTCTGGGCTGTGGCCTTGGGCTTCCTGCCTGGCCCCCCACCCGGCTTCCGGAGCCGTGCTGAGATAAAGGGGGATGGTGTCAGTTGGCCCGGCCCCCCATGGTCACCAGCAAGGACTGGTGGCCCAGGTCACGGTGTCCCTCTGATGGGCTTCGCAGACCCCAAGGAGAGAGCGGCGTGGGAAGCCCCTCAGCTGCCCAGTGTGGTGACGAGGACTTCCCAGGGAGGTGGCCAGGCCAGGCCAGACAGGTCAGAACCCAGGATGGAGTTCCAAGTGCTGGTTTCCTGCTCCAGCCCCGCTCGGAGCTACTCATGAGGATGGCACAGGAGGCAGCAGGAAGTGACTGTGCACGGACCCTGGCCCTGAGCCTCCGGGTGGCCTCGTGTCTGAGCAGCGTCCCCAAGACAAGTTCTGCAGGGGGTTAGTCATCGAGTGCCGAAATGGCGGCTCTGCCCTGAGACCCAAGGGTTCAGGGTTGGAATTGGGCCAGAAACATGTACAGGAAGCCATCTGGCCCGGCCCGCCACAGCAGCACAGTGACGACACCACAGCAAGGCTGCCGGCACCAGCTGCCGGCACCTGCGGGGACCATGACATCACCCTTGGACAGGAGGGACGTGGATCCCTGCCCCACACCCAGCTCCGACTGCAAACTTCTGCTCCTGCTGTGTGGTTTCCTCCCACCCCAACTTTTATTTTTAAAGGAAAGTCAAAGTACTTGCCTCAAAAAGGGAGAGCTGGTGCGTCCCAGGTGGGGACCCTGAAGGACAGTTTTCACATGGGCTGGAGCCACCGAGTTCTAGGACAGCACAATGCGCTGCAGCCCCGGCTTTGCTGCCACCCTGGCACTCGGGGCAGAGGCGTGGGGTGTCGGGTGCTCAGCGGTGAACGTGACAGCCACCCAACAGACCACGTGCTCGGTGCCACTGTACTAGGGAGTGGCCCAAGCGTGGATGTCACACAGTGCTACAAGAGTTCAGTCTTTCCAGTACTGGGGATGTAGCCCAGGTCTCCACACTGAGCTGCATCCCCAGCCCTTTTATGTTTTGACACAGTTTGGCTAAGTTGCCCAGGCTGAACTTGAACTTGGGATCCTCCTGCCTCAGCCTCCTCAGTGCTGAGACATTTGCATTTTGTTGAGACTTACACAAAGTACAGCATGCAGGAAGGTGGCAGGGCTGGCTCCTCTGAGGGTGGTGCCACAAAGCTCCACCCCACACTAGCTTACCTAAACACACAGCTGCTGGTCACTAGCACTGTGCCTATTGCTGAGATGTGAAGGCCACCTGCAAGGGACTCCAGGAAACCTGCTCCACGGGTTTCTGAAATGGGGTCTCCCTGTGCAGCTCAGGCTAGTCTTTGGTGGCCTCAAACTTGTGACGGTCTTCCCACCTCATCCTTCTGAATGCTGGGATTGGAAATGTGTGCCACCATGCTGGCTTATGATGGGGGGCATGCACCAGAGATCTAACTCGGGTCCTTGTGCTTGTGAGGCAGGCGGCAGAACCACTGAGCTAAATCCCCGACCCCATCAGCCTATCTTTACTTTCGGGTGCCAGGCATAGAAGCAGGGCTCATCCTGGGCCAGCCTTCACAGCTGTTTCCACAGCACTGTGACCCATGTTCCTGCGCCACCTACTGGCTCAGGATACAACTGGCCTGGTGCTGAGGTTGCCCCTGCCACAGCCTGGGCACAGTGTGGCCTCTGCACACTCACTGCCTCTTGCGGGCACAACCCCGAGGGTGGGTCCACCGCCACCCTGGATGCCAGCTCTCCTGTCCTGCTGCGGAGGGCTGGGCTGGGATGGAGCGGGCACAGCAGCAGTGCTATGTGTCGGCCAGGGAGGCTAGACACTGGGGTGGTGGCGATGTGTCACAGCCCAGCTAGACAGTCTCCATGCACAGCGCTTGGGTGAAGTTTCTCACATCACCACAGAACTCGGAGGACCATCCCAGAAGGCAGAACCAAGAGGAACACTGCAGAGGGTACAGTGCCTCAGCCTTGGAGGGGGCAGAATACAGGGCCAGGGATACTCACACGGAGGGAAGGTGGCAGCTTTCTCCTAGGAAACAATTCCTGAAGCCTCTTCTCTCCATCAGTATTTAAGTTTTAACTTTAATGTGCAAATAAATAGAAAAGGAAAACTACATTCAAAACAGCTGCAAGGGAAGATCAAGGCCAGAACAGAAATCCTCAAAACGAACAGGCGTCTGAGAAGCATGCGGGGCTCAGCGTCACCCGTGTCCCCACCCAACCTGCTTCCAGGGACAGGTGGGGCGCCCACGGTGCCACTGGCACTTGGGACACGGGGCAGGCGCTGGCTCCCAGGGAGCCACGGCACCCAGTTTGGCACAGCTCTGCGGCAGGAATGGGCTGCGCACGGGGCCAGCTGGTCACCCTGGGCTCTGGGCGGCAGTGACAGGGCCAGGCCCACTCGCGCGCCAGCACCCAGCAAGGTGAGGGGCCTGGGTGGCCCGGCTGCTGCTCAAGCTGCGACCACGATGTGCGACAGGAATAAATGTGTGCAACTGGAGGAGCGAGGACATCACCCGCAGAGCTCCTCCCCTCGGTGACTGGGCCTACAGCTCCGACAGTGAGGCAGGGTCCCCACGACATCTCGGGTGCTGGCCAAGGACTTGCGCCCACTCGGCTGGCTGTAGTCCCACCCTGCTGGGCGCCCCAGCAAAAGAGACAGGGCAGGAGGCCGGGATGGTGGCGGGAGCCGCTCCCCTCTGTCCCCCCTCGCCACGTGGCCCAGGGCACTCAGGGCGAGGCTGGGCGGCGGCTGTACTGCACGCGGTAGCGGGTGACAGGCAGGCCATGCACCATGGCTGTCTCGCACAGCGTCTTGCAGGGCACCATGTCCTCGTCCTCCTCGCCCATGAGCCAGTCCTGCACCAGGCCGGCCGCCTCCCCCGTCACGTTGTCCTCCAGCCAGCGGCTGTGCCACTCCCCGAAGTGCCGGTGGTGACGCAGCAGCACCAGCGGCTGCACCTGCGGGGAGGGACGTCAGGCAGGGCTCCCCACACCCAGGCGGGTCTTGGGGTACGCGGCCCCGCTCAGGGCGCACCTGCTTGACCCGGCCGAGCGTGCCGCGGCGGTACATGTAGTCCTCGGAGTTGACGATGAACACCATCTTGTGGGTGCTCAGCTTGAAGCGACAGTCCACGTCGCACGCGCTCTCCACGCCCACCAGGCGCCGCCAGGGGCCCTGGGCCTCACCACGCAGGGCACGCACCTGCTCACACTGCCAGCGCCGGAACTTCCGCAGGTTCCTGGCCGGGCCGGGGCACAGACCGGGTCAGGAACACCCCAAGGCCGTCCTTCTGGGGAGCGTGACCCGCCAGGGCCCGCCCACCCACGGCTGCGCCGGCCTCACCTCTGCAGGAACACGGGCTTCAGCAGGAAGCCCTCGGTGGGCGAGCTGGACGTGCCCTCGGTGCCCACGTACTGCTCCACGTAGCGTGCCAGGTGCTGGGGACAGGACAGCTGTGACGCCTCGGTCAGTCAGGCCGGCTCCCCGCCCCAAGCACAGGGCCCACCGCAGGGCCCACACGGCGGCCCACAGGTGGGCACCCCACGAACAGGCTGTGTGGGACTGGGGCTCAGCAAGTCCAAACCACGGCACGACCTTTGGGGTCCCTCGGAGGGGACTTCACACATGGGGTGCTGCCTAGATAGCGGGGTCCAGGATGGGGCGAGAGGCAGAAGCAGACACCAGAGCCAAGAGAGGCTAGGCACATGGGTGCAGGACTGTGCAGCTACAAGGAGGCTGAGGCAGGGAGGCCCCAAGTTCCAGGCCAACCCAGACAACTTGATGACTTAGTGACACCCTGTCTCAAAATAATCTCGAAAAGGGCTGGGGTGCAGCTCATCGGGGAGCACCAGCCTGGTGAGCCTCTGGGGCTTCTCAAACTTCCCCACCGGGTGGCTTCAGTTCAGGCAAAGGCGCAGCTGCAGCCACTTTCCTTCCCCACTGGTGGGCATGGAACCCCTGACCCACGCGCTGAGCTCCGTCTCCAGCCTGTTGTTATTCTGAGGCAAGGTCTTGCAAAGTTGCCCAGGCTGGGCTGGAACTTGGGATCCTCCTTCCTCCCCTCCCCGAGTATGAGGATCACACGCACAACTCCCTGGTCCTTGCTGCCAAACTCAGTCGTTCACAGACTCCGGCTCCAAAGGGGATTTAGATGGCAAGCAGGGCGGCAGCCACACTGCCCCTGGGCCCAAGGAGGCCACGGCTGCACCTGCAGACCCACCCTGACCACCTACGCGGGTCTCCACTGAGGTACGTGGCCAGTACAGCAGGGCAGGCCTCCACCCAGCGACCGGCGCCCTAGGGTGGAACCGAGGGAGGCCAGGACCCAGACGGCAAGCAGAGCTGCCCAGGAGGTGCCCTGGACACCCTGTGGGGGTCACTCATCACAGCGACCAGGGAGCCACAGGCAGCATGCCTGCCAAGTGACACGCGCCATCACGCACCCTCCTATCTGTGCACCCTCAGGCAGGCACTCACGCATTCTCGGGACCCAGGCCAGGGGTGAGGGCCACAGCAGACGGGAGGCCCGACTCCTCTGAGGACACGGAGGGCCCGCGTGCCCGTCACTGCACATGCAGAGCCGGGAAGCCCGGCTGTCTCGGCCCCATGTCCCACCTGCACTTCCACAGGGTCCTCGGTCTGGGCCTCCTCAGTGTCCAGCAGCTCGATGGTCATGATCACCTGGCCCTTGCGCTGCAGGAACATCACCTGGCGGGGTGGGGACAGACTGAAGCCTCTGGCTGCAGCCCTGCGGATGGATGGACAGGCGGACAGACGGACGGGCCGGGTGGCCGAGCTCACCTTGAAGCAGTTCTCGTCGGCCATGCAGCGCTCGGCCTTCCACTGGTAGCTCGTCTCTCGGGCGGCGCGCACGCAGCGAGAGGACAGGTTCCCGCCTGCCGCGCCACGCTTCTTCTCACTCAGGTACAGCTCCGCCACCTTCAGGCACACGTCATCGCTCACCAGGTGGTGCAGCTGCGGGGACAGGGACGTGGCGGGACGCAGGCCGTGAGGTGGGGGCCAGGCCTGTGGGCCTCGGTGGACCGGACCAGGCCGGGATGGGCCACACTGAACACACTCAAGCCGTCCTAATGGGCTCAGACCGTGATACACATCCAGGCGGCAGCGAACCAGATCAGACTGCCCCAAACTAGTTCAGACTGCTGGGAACTACCCCAGACAGCCCAGAACTGGCTCAGACTGCCCTGAACTAGTTCAGACCACAGAAAACCTGATGAGACCAGGCCAGACTGGACCAAAGCAGAACAAGCCAAATCGAATCAGACCAAAGTATGCGAAGCCAGATCAGGCCAGACAAGACAAACCAGAGTAGCCTGCACCATGCTACGGTGCACAGACATGGGCCCTCCCATGACACCTTCCCCACCTAAAGTGCTCAGCTGCAGGCTTGCATGTCTCGCTCACCCCCATATTTCTGAGGAAGGCAGGCCCAAGGCGAGTCCCAGCCTTGGGCCTCCCTGCCAAGCCCCTATATGAGGTGACACAGGTAGCCCTTACTGCAGCCTTGCCCAATAAACGGGGCCACACCAGATACACACGGACCACACCATGTGCCGGGCACCACAGGTGCCCAGAGACAGCGGCAGCCAATGCTGAGATGCCGCCCAGTGAGGTGGGGTTGGTGCCGTGTAAGGCCACTGTGCTTGTCACGCTGAACTCCACCTCTGCTGGGTCCCGAGGGAGCAGTGCCCAGCCCAGTCCCCATCCTATGGCCAGCTCTCAGGCAGCCCCATGCAGCTGCACACACACAGCAGGGGTCTACATTCCCTGCCATGCCGTCACCCGCCCTGCATGGCCACGACTGTGAGAGACGAGGCGGTGACCCAGGTCAGGGGGCTGGACACCCTACTGCTGCTGGCTCCACCGTCCCACGTCTGAGACAGGGCCTCACATGCCCAGTACTGCACAAGCCAGCACGGGCACTGGTGGCCACACAGCGGGTCCAGGCCGAGACCCTGTAGGCCCAAGCCCAGGAGTGCAGGACGAAGACACAGCCACACAGATGGGACGCAGGCGCCACCGGGCCCATCCCAGGAGAGGGCACAGACAACGGCTCCACCCTGGGTCCCTGGAAGGCCCTGGGCCCGCAGCAGGGGCTCAACGGGAGCGGCCACTCATGTGGAAGCCCGCTGGTACTGCACATGGCACCCACAGGAGACCTGGGCACAGCAGGAAGTGCCTGCCCCAGGGCTCGGCACCAGTGCGGTCTGTCCCTGCACCTTCGCTTTGCTCAAAGGACGCCCCACAGGAAAAAAGTCACAGCGGCGGTCCTGGGCGGTGGCAGAACTCCATCCTGGGCTGCGCCACTCCCTGGGCTTCCACCGTGTGCAGGCCACTTCCCTTGCTGACACCGAGCAGCGCCACTGGCCACCCGTGACGGAGCCGCCACCGATGGGCCGGAGCTCCAGTACCACAGCGGTGACTCCCCACCGGCAGGTGGGCGGACAGGCAGTCAGCACAGCAGAACATCACACAGCCGGGGGAAAGGGCGCAGGCCCTGTGCAGGGTACGCCTCAGACAAAGCCTGGAAACAGCAGCCCCACACCCACATCCACTGACGTGCCACGTGAGACCAGGCAGGCCCGGGCGCACAGCGGACCGCGGCTGTGGGAGGCGGGGCGGCTGGGCGGGATGATAATGGGCCGGGTGTCCCTCACCCCAAGCGCTGACCAGCACCGCTCTGGATTTGGGCTGGCTTCTGTTTCCGGGACACTTGTACATATGTAACGAGGAATCCCAAGTCGGGACCAGGTAAACCCAGAACATGTTCACGCTTCTTACATACGCGGCACACAGCCTGAGGGGGTTTCACGCGCTGTCTTTAATAACTGTACAAGACAAAGCCCCATGGTATGTGACCTCCTGCTTCCACCAGCCCGTTGGAGACAGCAGATGTGGATTCTGGAGCACATGGGATGTGGGAGTTTCGGATTACGGATGCTAGCAATGTTCCAGAACTCTGGACTTCTAAAGGGAATCAGGGTGGAACCCAGGACCTTTGTTCTGAGCTGCATCCCCAGCCTTTTTAAATTTTTGAGACAGGGTCTCACTAAACTGCTAGGCTAGGCTGATTTCTGGGGGTGGCAGGTACTGGGGATCGAACTCAGGACCTTGCTCTTTACGCAGCAGGAGGCAGCACCACTGAGCTAAATGCCCTGGGCTAAACTTTTTAACCTTTCTGCCTCAGCCTCCCAGAGTACTGGAATCACAGGTGTGTCCCACCACACTTGACTGCAATGGATTTTTTTGTCACAAGAATTTCACCTCAGCTTTTTAGAAAGGAGAGCTCTGCGTGCTGCCCAGCCTCCGGAGCAGACACCCAGGGGGATCAGGGTCTCCAAAGCCCAGGCTGGCGAGGGCGGCGGGCAGCCCTCACCTGGCGCGCGATGTTCTGCACCAGCTTGTCCATGGTGAAGCCTATGTAGGCGTGGATGGTGAACATCTCGCGCAGGGTATCCTCGTACTGCGTGGGATCGATGCTGCCCTCCAGCAGGCTGCGCACCATGTCCAGGAAGGCCGGGTAGTACTCCTCCAGCTCCACCTCACCTGTGGGGGCAGCAGGCTGAGCCGCAGGGCCGGGTGCCGGGATGCCCCGGAGCGGTGGGAGAGCAGTGGGGACAGGCATACGCAGGCGTCTCCTGGCCAGGGCAGGGCAGGAGGAGGAGGCGCCACACTGGGTGAACCTCTACTCGCTGGGCACAGAACCCAGGCCCCGGGCTGTACCCCAGCCAGCCA